CTCGTGAAAATTATCAGTCACCAGAAATTATATTACTTATTAAGATTACACGAGCGCGCGGTGCGTCAAGCCGGCGGCCAGGAGCGTAGCAATCGGCGCGCCGGTCGGCGCGACCGGCGCGTTTTCACGGGTCACACTGCTCTTTTTAAGTAATTACGTCGAGTGCGCATTGTGTGCAACGGTGGTTCACCTCGACCGTTACCTCGTGACACGCGTGATCGAGAGCGGCGAGTCACGACTCCGTCGGAAGGTAAATCCAGGCCACACTCGTAAATTTCGCGCTCGCGCGCGGCTCTCGGGCGGATTTAACGATTCCCGGCGAAATTATGAGTTCGCGGTCGATCGAAGCAGTCAAGAGTGCAGGCGACGGCTTTTAACGCGTTAACCGGTCGCCCGCGAATCGCCGATCCGCTTTCCTCGAGATCCACCGTGAAACGTAATTCCTCCGACCCTCTTCCTCTCTCTCTCTCTCTCTCTCTCTTTCTTTTGCTCTTTTTCTTCCGACGATGCTCGAAATCCGGCTCTGCGGCGTATAGACTTGGAAATTCTATTAATATATTTTTTATCGAATTTATACCGCCCGAGGAGCGGGCGCTTGGGCGGACGGCGAACGTAACGATACGTTCCGCTAGATTTGCGATTCGTAAAGCGCAAGCGGGAGTCCTCGGTCACGAGGGCAGCGGTGGGAGGGCGGCGGGGGGAGGGAGGGGGAGGACAGAGACGGGATGCGCGGCGATATTTTCTAAAGACCTCGCGCAAAATTGGCCGGTATCTGGGTTAAGTCGCGCGGAGGGGCGGGCGGGGGGGGGGGGAAGGGGATCGCGTATATTTTCTTATTCGTGTGCGTGCTCGTCGAATAATCCGACATAATCTGTCACGAAATCGCTAAGCTTCGAGTAGCTCGGGCTTACGTGACGTCTCGAAAGCGTCTCGACGAGAGATAGCCGCGATATTAAATCCCAGCTAGGTGGATTTTATTCCGCCACGGTACACCGAAGGCATTTCTCGTAGCACTTGTATCCTATTCCGGATTGACATCTCCGATAATATATCCGTCAGTTTATTTCGCTGAGTAAGCCGTACGTTGCGCATGCGTATATCCACGTGTGTGTGTGTGTGTCGGAGTCTCGTCCTTTACCTTGCCGAAAGCTTGATATCGGTGTTTTTTTCATCATCCCTTTAATATGCTTACAAGCTCCATTTCCTCGTCTGCCTTATCCGCGCCTGTCGCGAGGAAAATTCGTGGCGCGGATCAAATTTTTCAACGAAACTCGCGCGACGACGTCTCTCCCCCTTCCTCTTCGCCGCTCGCGAACGTTTTTCTTTCCATCTTGCACGAACGCGTGCTTTGTACTCGAACGCAAACGTAATCCTCGACGTGGCGAGCCGGCGCGGCTCATCGCTCATCGCACCGTTTCGTTTGTTTACACACATGTAATTTCTCATTTCGTCCCGCATGGTTTCTTCTCCCTCCTCTCTCTCCCTCCCTCTCTCGCTCTTTCTCTCTCGCAGGCCAGCGGAAGTTTTACGGGTATTCAAGACGAACGCGTGTCTCCTCATATTTATGACGAGCGCCTTAATACCCGCGCGCGATGCGCTGACACGAACTCGCCGCCGCGGAGACTTTCAGCGACTTACTCCTCTCGTTATACCGCCCGAAAGATAATTCTCGTCTTAAAGTGACGCATTATATCCCGCGACGTGTTTAACGATGCGCCTTGTACTCGTCTCGTTCCCCGGGGATGGGTCGTTGCGCGGCCGTCCTACAAAAGATTGTTTAGAAAAGGGGCTAAGTGCTGTGAACGCGCGCCGGCGCCACTGAAAATGTTTAACGAAGTATTCTTTTATACGATCCGAGATCGTCCCTCTTCTTCGGACTCTCTCTCTCTCTCTCTCTCCTTGCCTGCTTACCTTTCTCCTTCTTTTCCTTTCTCTCCGCTGGTTCTGCTGTCGTTCACGACGAAGTTACTCCGAAAACGGGCAAGAGTCAACGAGGAGAAACGGCGCCCCAATTTTTCGTCACACGCACGTACTTGCGTCGTACTTCTCATTCGCGACGTCTTATTGAGCCGACCAATCGCGAGGGCGCGTTCGACCGGGGCCCTCGTGTTCCAGACGCTTGGCGAGTGCCGAACTCGCCCCTCTTGATTGGGGCCCTGGGCGCGAATCGGTCGAAATTCTATTTGTCCAAAATATCCGAAATGAACAACAATTAGTTGCGCTTACGTGCAGTAATTGTTTCAATCGATTACTTCGATCCGGCTGATTATACGCCGATTAACATTATTAACATTAATTTCATCAGTCGGTTGAAATTTATATTTAATTCTATCGGTTGACTGAATTCGTAATTACGCATACGGCGATAGATTAATTTCGATTATTCATTCGCCGATTCTTTTGGCCGAGCAAGATTTCAGGCGATCGATGCCCCCGACGTCGGCCTCATTCTCAACGCTGACTGTTGAATCTCGTGTGCGCCTTTCTGATCCTCGAGCTGAAGCAAACATTACGCGTGTCGTTCGTACAAGAGGAGCGGAGCTTGGAATTGGAAGGGCATGTTTAACATTCGCTACGCGTCCAGAATAATGTCCCTGTGGACTCGAATCTCGCAACACGCGTCCCGAGTGGAAACATTAATAGGGCTCTTGATTATTTTTCTCTAACATTAATCGGACCCTAGTAGGGATAGAAAGACAAGGGCCCTACAAGATATGTAAGAAATGATTTAACCTTATATGACAATATTATGAGGGCCTTATAAGGCAATGTTAACAGGGCCTTATAAGGTAATATTATTAAGGCCTTATAAGGAAATATTTTTATTATTGTTTGAATAAAAATATTCGTTCTTTTTATTCCAAGAAATTTAGACTGTAATTTCTTTATTACTTTATAACCTTGTTAGTATACAATAAGTTTTTTATTTTAAAAATATAGCATATTTTACAATAAAATATAGCATTCTTTGCACATAAAGATCTTGCTATTTTTATTAAAGTTCGTTGCATTTTAAAACGAAGGCAATACTAGAAAAATCTATGGAAGAGACAAATGAATATGGCAACTAATAAAACCAATAAAATTTGCTTTTAATTGCGATATAATTAAAAAGTCTTTAAAAAAATCGGATATAGCGTATCTACTAAAGCGATACTAAACTATGACAATTTTATTACACGCTTCAGATCTTATTAATTTTTCGTAACAAAACTTGGTTTTGTATATTTAAAGCACCCTCTTCAAAGATCCTCCTAAGGAGCACATCAGTTTTCCATGTTCCATGTAAAGCGTTATTTCGTAAAATCTAAGGCATCCCTAATGAATCTTTCTAAGACCCTCATCAGTTTTCCTTATCAAAGCCTTATTTCGTAAAATCTTAAGTATCCCTAAAAGATCACTCTTGGGGCCTGATGTGGTAATAATGAGGCATCCCTTTTGAGGGCATCCTATTTTCAGCCTTATCGGGGCCTTATGCTTCATGAGGATAGTCCTAACAATGTTTTGCTCGGGGCGTTTCGCGTCGACGAGAAGGCCGACGCGACGCGACGTTAGGATGATTTCCGCTCTTGCGACCGACTCTTGCCACTTGGCCGATCCGTTCGACGAAAGTCCGCGCGAGCGCGAAAGTTATAGCCGCGAGATACCTCCGAGGACTCGGCGGCCGCCGGGGATGTGCTCGACAATGGACGCTCTTAAGTCACCGCCGTTAAAAGTCGCTTTAATTCACGCGAAATGAAACTTTACTGTCTCTCGTCTCGTCTCGTCTCGTCTCGTCCTGTCCCGTCCCGTCCCGTCGCGCCTCGTCGTAGCTCCATTCGTCCGCGATAACTTGGGAATCTCCGTATTCAGCATGCCGGCCGGTCCCCCGGAGGGCTGCGGAGCAAGAAGTTAATGCCGAAACTTTCGGCGGGAATAAATGTTAAACAGCCGTTCGCTCCCTGCTTCCCCACCCCTCTCTTGCCCCTGTCGTTTTCGAGGCGTGTTTTGCGAATCGCGGGATTTAATGGAACGCCGGCCGGCGGAATAAGATCTCCGCGTCTGTCAAAGTCGGCTCGGACGCGGGCTCGAAAATCGATCGCGCCGCGCGCGTCTCTCTTTCTCTCTCTCTTTCTCTCTCTCTCTCTCTCTCGGGCGTGCAGGCGGGGGGAGGAGGGGACTGGTAGGAAATTACGAGGACCTCATAAGTCCAGGTGGAAATGAATTTCCGAAATTGATTGTCAATGTCGCTGTCTGTCACGCGTCCCGGCTTCCTTCCTCCGCGTCGAAAAACGAATGGCGCACGGGAAATTCATCGAATGCGCGGGCGAGAGACAAATTGGTAGAAAAGAACGAACGTTGCGGCGGGCGCGCGCGCGCGCTCGCCGTTCATGCCGAAATAAATCCTCCGACTTGGCAATTTTCTCACACGTCACGCGATCGATACGAAGAGAGGCACACGGGAGACGCGACGGAGTCGCGTGTCGATTTGCGTACTCCGTAGCAACACCGATCGTCCCGTTCATATACGGGGTGTCTCTGAAGTAACGTCCGATACTTGGCGCGAGCGACCGTTCGTTCGGCCCGAGAGCCTTGTCACAGTCTCCACAGTGTGTTGAGAAGAACTCCGCGAAATTATCGTTGCTCTCCGTCAGCGCGACGGAGACATCAGTCGTCAACACCGGGGGGGGGGTGAGGGGTCGCGATCGCTCGAATCCCGAAAAGGTATCGACTCACAATCAGTCGCGGCCGCATCGTCGTCGACAGAGCCTCCCCGCCTGCGGTCAGTCCGCGATCGCACGGAAGAAAGCGACTGTGTCGAGCACCTTTAGAAGCTAAAAAACCCTCGGCACCCTCGGCGATTAGCGAGCCATGCACCAATGAGCGCAATGCACCACGTCGCGCGTACATGCCGACGGTCGATCATTCTAAAATCGATTCTCAATGTTGCTGACCCTCGTGCGCCCACACGTGGTCGAACTTGGGCTACACACGCTACTATTGGACTGGCCGGTTTAAAGAAGGCCGGAGCGACGATTAACGTGAGGCGGCTCCACGGCACTTTGGTCACCTTCACCAGCCCAGAGTCCCACCTGGTAAGCCTCAGTATCCAAAGCTTGAACGAAAAAGGCTGTGAACGAAAAAAAAAAAGATATCAGCAAGCAAGAACGAGGCGAAGCCGAGAGCTCAGCTCGCGAGCTCTCGCTGGACTGGCCCGGACACGCACCTGTATATACTTAATTGGCTAACTTTCACGCGACAACTTAGCTTCTTAGAGAGGAGTGATCACCAGAGCACCTTCTTCTATTTCTTCACTACCACACCACCACCACCACCACCACCACTACTATTTTTCTACTTCTTCTTTGTCTCTTCCTCTTCTCCGTTTTCTCTTCTTTTCGTTCTTCGCTTCTTCTTTCGCTCGGCACTCGCGAATAGTCGATATATTCGAATAGCGCGCCGTCGGGGGGGGGGGCGGGCGGGAAGACGCTCGAGTGTCTCCCGGGGAAGTCCCGGCGAGAGAATGAAGCCGAGTATATCGCGGCCGCGCGACGGAATCGTCGTTGAAGAATTTTCCTCGACGCGTCGGTGGTAATCTCTCGCGGGTAAGACGGAGCGAAGCGTGAGGGAGAAAGGAAAGCACGAACACGCGTGTGCGCCTTTCTTCTTTATTCCTCTCGGGTGACCGGGTTTTTCTTACGACGGCGGCCACGGTAACGATGTTTTTCCGTCACTGTCGCGAAGGAAACCGCGGGGCCGATCGCGAGCAGTCGATTCGAGCGGACCGTCACGAAAGACGGCCGCCCGCTTGAATGATTGATACGGTCCCTTATGTAACGAGCATGGAATTTTAATTAGCTGCCTCGTATTGTGCCCCCGCGCCGGGACGCTCGATGGGTTATTGATTTATCGAGTAGTCTTACAACAAGTGTTGTCACAGTCACCGCTCGCGCGCGCGCGCGCTTGTCGCTCGTCCCGTCGGGAAACGCGCGCGCGAACGAGACGGTTGCGAAGCCCGAGTGGCGGCTGGGCGGTTATAGGAGGTCGCGGGGGAAGGCGGGCGGAGCGGATAATTCAGTCTTTAATATAGATGCCACGAATTGCACGCCCGTGCAATATACGCGAGCGAGTCACGCGGAATATTCGAGGCCATCGAGCGATATTCGAATGCGAATGCTATCCTGTTTACGAGTCTTGTCCTACGTTGAACTTTATTATTTTCTCTCTTTCTCTCTCTCTCTCTCTCTCTCTCTCTCTTTCTTTCTCTCTTTCCGCTATTTCTCTCTTCTCTTTATTCTCTCTCACTGTCGGCGAGCGACACGCAGCTTGTGAGAAGGAGGATTGGTACGACACGAAATCTTGCGCCGAGTTTATGGAAATTTTCGCGACGGCTACGCGGGGAGAGACGCCGGCGGATCCTTGTCTCTCTTCCCGTTTCTCCCCCCCCCTCTCTTTCTCTCTCTCCCTCTCTCTCTCTCTCTCTCACTCTCTTTTCTTAGTCCGTTATACACTCACTGTTCGAAATATTCGCTCGCCCGACTTGAGGCCAACTACTCGCGATCCCGAGTGGATCTCGTGGAACGATCTCACTTGGAATCGCGTAATCGCGGTGCGCGACGACGGGCAATTATTACGGGGAGACGCGATATTCTCGGGGATTTGGATTTTGCTCGGTTTTTCCGATTAACGATCTCGATCGATCTCGCCGATGAATTAATCGACGGTACACAGTTTGCCGAGGGGAACGCGTCGCTCCGTACGATCGTGTCGACAATCCTTTCCACGAGCGCTTTCCTGCGAATGGTTAGGAGGTCAGCCACAATATGTACATAGTTCACGCGTGAATAATATATATACAGGGTGCTAAATTTCAAACGTAACAGGTAAAGAATCTCGAAAACTATGAAAGATATTAAAAAAAGCTGAAACATGTGGTCCATAATTTCGAAGGGGAAAGAGAATGTCATTATCAGAGAATGTCATTATCATTTTTATTTGGAGGGCATTTTCAAGATCAGCTTAATTTTTTAATTTAAAATTTTTTAAAATAGAGAGGCCAATTTTTTATTATATCTTCTTTTTCTACCAATTAATTTTAACAACTTTTGTCTGAAACATTTTTTTATTTGCCTAATATTTTTTAAAATATTTAAGGAAAACTTGGTAACTTTTTCAACATTTAACTTACGATATCTCGCTAACTATTTGTCGAAAGACAAAATAGTATTAGACTTTTTTACTTTATTTGCTATCAAGAATATATTACTATAATAGTGCCCTAATTTTTGTTAATTTAATAATTTTGAAATTTCTAAAGGTCGATAAGTTAACAAAAGTTAGGGCACTATTATAGTAATATATTCTTGATAGTAAATAAAGGAAAAAAGTCGAATACTATGTTTTCTTTCGACGAATAGTTAGCGAGATATCGTAACTTAAATGTTGAAAAAGTTACCAAGTTTTCCTTAAATATCTCAAAAAATATTAGGCAAATAAAGAAATGTTTCAGACAAAAGTTGTTAAAATTAATTGGTAAAAAAAGAAAAAGATATAATAATAAAAAATTGGGCTTTCTATTTAAAAAAATTAAGTTGACCTTCGACTGACCTCGAAAAAATGTCCTCCAAATAAAAAACCGATAATGCCATTCTCATTCCTCTTCGAAATCGTGGAACATGTGTTTTAGCTTTTTTTAATATCTTCCATAGTTTTCGAGACTTTTTAACTGTTACGTTTGAAATTTAGCACCCTGTATATACGCACATGATACTTGTGCTAGCTCTAATAGGTACACCACTGGTCATTGCACATGCACGCAATAATCTACGCTCCTCTCACTGTCATCATCATATCTGTCATCGGCGCGAGAATTGAGTTTCCTTCGGAACCGTAAGAGAGACACAGTTAACATTTCACACCCGAACGAGAACGGGGCGAATTTTTTTCCTGTCGCTTTGATTTCTCAAGAATTATCGTTTATCAGACGTCCCTGCCTTCGATATGGGAGGCAGGAGATAAATAGATACACGCACGAACGTTGAGATCATTCGTTTTCGCATTCAAACTCTATGAGACTTTCACACAGATTCACTAATTGATTGCCGATCGATTCTCCCGAGCAATTGGTCGAGCGACGCATCTCGAGCCGTCCAAGAGAATCTACTTGCTTCTCGACGTGACTGTGAGCGCGCGATTGATAAAATTCACAACGCCGCGGTCCGGCGCGGCGGAGTGCGGTCGTAATTTCCGCGGATCGGGGAACTCGTGGCTTCTTCGGTTTTCCAAAAGTCAGCCGGCTGTGTACGAATATGCGGTCCATCATCTCATCGAATCATCCTCTCTGCCTCACGGAATGAGTGATCAATGAGCGTCTGACAATTGCCTTTATTAGCTCGAGCACCAAGCTGCATGAGGAAACGAGAACGAACCAAGTGCACCCGCCTGCATGTTGACGCCAAAAACTACGTCTAATTATATTTTCAGGACGATTAAGAGCGGACCGACGTCGATCGGCCCGCTGATAGCGGTCATGCTGAGGCATATTCGCTTCGACCGAAACAGACGCTGAGATGCGGATCGACGCAAATCTTTCGAGAATAAAAGATCCCGCATTTTACTGTGCGTCATACGGCGTCCTCGATCTCCGAAAGATCTCCATTTCGGACGGGGAGCGGTCGTAACTCTCTGTAAAAATTCCGAGATTTTATAGTGTCGCGGCATCCCCGGCCTCCGAAAGTCTCCCGTTTATATGTTCCGCTCGGAGGGGCAAATGTTTTGATAAATTTCAGAACCTCACAGGTAGCGCTCCTGATCGAAGGAATTCCCGTTTCCGCGGAACTGAAGGGAGAGAAGGAATTTTTATTTCTGTAAGAATGCGATTTCCGGCACACGTCGAGAGCGTTACGCGCTATCTTTCTCGGTTCACATAAGCGCGTCTACGGACAAGACTCAGTAAACAGAACGGGTAAATATGCATAAAAGGCAACTCTCCGACTTTTTTCATCTTGCAATGTGTTATGAAGAGTGAAGTTCTGAATAACTTTTTCTAATACAATTATATAGGTGTCGCTTATATAGTTTCCGAGATATATGACTTTAAAGTTATAAAATTATTAACTTGTAAAATTGTACGTTGAATGCAATTATTTGTAGAAGTTTATCACAAGTACAGCAATCTTGTCGCAAATATTTACCGTTTACAGTTACGCGAATCTTTCGCCTTACTAAATTTACTGAGTTTACCGTATACTAAAAATGGAAATTTTATGAAAATTAGCAAAGACCCGTACGCAAGGTTGGCAAAAGTGACAGATGCATACTCGTCTCTGCAGAAAAATTTACTGAAAAATTGAAAAATTTAAATCCGCTATTTTACAGATTAAGATCAATTTTTCATGATCTTGCGTAGGGGTTTTGCTAATCTTCACAAACTTTTTATTTTTAGTAGAGATGTGCGAATCAAGAATTTTTATGTCGTATCGAATCGAGTCGAATCTCATTTTTTAAATTCGAATTCGAATCGAATCGAATCATTAAAAAATTTAACATGACTATTAAATATGTAAATAATGATGGAAGATTTTAATATGAAAGGGAATATTGTAATATCATTTTAAAGTAAAATATATATTTAAATATTTAAAGTAATTTATATTTAAGTTATTAATTATAAGTTAAGTTAATTACAAGTTAAGGGTTCAGACACACAAGCCCAGATGACCCGTTTTGTACCTGATGCATGCAAACGATAATGTATTTGATTCCTATTCGAATTATTCGGATTCGAATTATAGGGATTCAGATTCGAATCGAATTACATTAGATTCAACTCGATTCGATTCGAATTCGAATAGTTCGCACATCTCTAATTTTTAGTATATGGTAGGATAGATCACGGTTAGGTTAGCTTTGGTTCTCTTTGCAGATCGTTAATAATAGGCTTGGTTCTTTTTGCAAATAATTAATAATAGGTTAGGTTCTTTTTGCAAATAATTTCCATCACTTCTACAATATATATTCAATTTCAACAAAATCGGTGAGGTGTAATCATTTATGCACATTTATCTTTTAAAACTTTAAAATCATATCTCGGAAT